AATTAAAAAAGAAAAAATTCCACCCCCGCCGCTGGCCCCGGGCTCCCCCCGGCCGCGGTCGCGGCGGGTGCGCGGCTCCGGGAGCGGGCACCCGCCGYTACAAGCACAGCCTTCATGCAGCAACTGGGAAGAGAGGCAGCCAAAGCCGGGGTGGGGGGGGAGGCTGGGGGAGGAGGAGGCAGGCTGCAAAAAAATCACCCACTCCGGGGGAGCCTGATGGCATCCTCTCCCCCGACCCTCCCCAAAATCATCCCCGCTGCCGAGCGCTGCCAAATAAAAATCGGAAATAATTAAAAAAAAAAATACCCCAGTCCCAAAATCGCCGCGCCCACCTTCACCTTCCCCCCCAAAAAATCGGCCCCACGAACCCTCCCGGCTCGGGGCCGCGCTGTCCCCGCCGCTCTCTCGCTCGCTCGGTGCCGGCAGCCCCCGGCCCAGCCCCTCCCGGGCGCGGGTGGCTCCGCGCCGCCGGCCGGCCCCGCTCGGGGGAGGGATGCGGGATGCAGGGGAGGGATGCGGGATGCAGCGGGGGGGAAGATGCGCCCAGGCAGCGCCGGCCGCCCCCTCCCCAGCCCGGCCATTTACCTACGTGGGGCGGCGCTGCTCCGGGAGCGGCTCATGGCGAGCGGCGGCGGCTCTGCGGGCCGGCCCTGCGGGGCTCCCCCCGCCCCGCCGCCGCACGCGGAGCCCCGGCAGAGGCGCTTGGCCGCCTTTCGAGTGCCACACGCCATCCTCACCCCGCCCTTCCTCCGCCCGGGCTCGGCCCCGGCCCCTCCGGCCGCCCGCGGGCTCGGCCCCGCCGGGACCCCYCGCTCTCCCCGGCTCCGGGGGTCCGGGCACGGCCGGGGGTGCGAGCCCCGGGCTCCGCCGCTCCCCCGCGCTTCCCTGAACGCCTCCATCCGCCGGTTCTGCCCGCACGGACCTTGCGGGGTCCCGGCCCCTCGTCCCGGGGGTCCCCGACCCGCTGGAGGCACCCAAAGGTCACCCGAGAGGGGCAGCGGTGCCCGGCGCTCCTTGGAGCGGGGAGCAAATCCCAACTGTGCCGCGATTCCTCCCCAGGAAAAGCCGGGATGGTGCAGAGACCCCGGCACGTTTGGGGTGTGAAGAACTYGGAGCCATCCCCCAAACCCTAAGGCCGGGGAAAGGCTCGGGTTTCAGGAGATCCACGCCTTGGTCCCACCGTGGTCACTCCAACTCAGGCCACCTTTGGGACCTTGCGGGACAATGACAAGAAAAGCAGTGTCCAGCCCGTAACTTTGTGTTATTTGGTTGTTTTYCCTTCGAGCTGCAGGAACAGAAACGATCGCGGCCGCCACGTGGGGAATGCGTTTGAGCTGAGCTCGATGTCCTGCGGTGTTTCACCTCCCAGCCTTCCCCAGGGTGAGTTTCTCCTCTCCAGAACCCTGRTGTTCATCATTTCGGGCTCCTCAGGGTCACCCAAGCAGAGTTTGCTGCTGCTGGGTTTTGCATTTTGGAATATTTGTTTTCATGCTGTTCCTCAGGCCATGATCGGCCTCCTTATGTAATGCTGGTGTTATATAAACTCCATTCTTCAAGGAGCAGTCATTAACCTACTACYGGGGATTGAAAATACCAAAATACTGCCACACAATTAAAACCACTAAATGGTGTCCTCAAACTAGAGCACAGATTGCATTGCAGAATTTTTTTTTTWTWWTTTTTTTTTTAAATTCAACCACACACATGAAACTATTATCAAGCCGGGCTCTTCATGCAAAAGAGCAGCAAAGATGGGAAGGAACCTTTTGCTGCCTCCTGCCCTGAGCTGCTTCCACTTCTTGTTGAGCTCACAAGTGGATCCTGCCATCGATCGACACGGCTCGGAGAGGATGCAGCTGCTCACTCTGCCAGTTGTGGGAAATAAAAACGTTTCTGAAGTCGCAGCCAAATGAAACCACAGGAGGAACAGTGTGAAGATGAGGATCAGGGGGTTTTGTGGGAATGAAGTTTGTCTCGGCGTGGAGTTGATGTTGCTGGGCTCTCTCACAAACCAGGCTGGGTCAGCTCTCAGCTGGGCTGGAGGAAATGAGGGGAGATTTTGTCAAAAATCCCTGCTGTGATCAGTTCTGGGGATCCCAAAAATCCCTGCTGTGATCAGTCCTGGGGATCCCAAAAATCCCTGCTGTGATCAGTTCTGGGGATCCCCAAAATCTCTGCTGTGATCAGTTCTGGCTCTTGGGATCCCAAACCTCCCCATCCTGATCAATCCTGGCTGCTGGGCATCCCAAAAATTCCTGCTGTGATCCCAAATTTCCCTGTCCTGATCAATCCTGGACCCTGAGGATCCCAAAAATCCCTGCTGTGATCAGTTC